ATCTCTCCATGCTGTCTGTGTGTCTATGAACCTCCCACTATAAACTTTTGAATGACTGATCAAATCTTCATGAAACATAATATGTATGTTATGACACCCGAATCCATTTCAGCGGCTACTTCATAAATCCCTTCTATGGCTGCCAAGCAACGGCTTGGTAAGATATAACCTTCCTTTCACTGTTAGGCAACGGCTCAATAAGCACATTCCCACGATAATGAATACACACAAAAACAGATGAATCGAAGGATGCATGCACCTGTTGTTAGGTGAGAACTCGGTAAAGACGTTCCTGCGGTAACGAAGAATATTTGAAGGCTTCGTTTTTTATGGGGTCTGTATTTTTCACGGACGAAATAGGGTCTTCCTCAGCGAGTACAAGAATTAGCAGAATCGTCGAATTTGTACGATACAAACTCCTCAAATATCCCAAGAGACGCCGCTGCATCCTCAGAATATAGGTGTCTGGTGGATATCGTCACGTCGAGGAATTGTGGGGCCATTTTTTGTTATTTTTTAAAAAAAACAATCGCGTTGATCACACCAGTTCATAACTGTGCATCTCCGATCCTTACTGGAACTTCAGTAAGAAAGTTGAATTCAGTAGGATGGCGTTATGTGTCATACGGGCAGGACAACAAAACTGTCATTGGCAGAAGTATCACTGCAGAAACTCCTATATTTGCCTCTCGAAACACGATTAAGACGAATGATTTATGTATTCGCCATAACTGAGGACAATGTCTGCATCTCATTTAAGTTTCCAAATTGGGCACCTTTTTAAATGGGTCTCCCCTCATGTTTATTTTTATAGTACATATTTATTTATATTTAAATGCAACAATTTTTGATGATATTTTTATGACAGGGCCCAAAACAAGATTGTATTCCATATCTGTACCATTTCTTCAAGAACTGAAATGTTTTGCAGGTGGGTCAACAGCTGGTCTACGCAGCAGAAGAAGCAGAGAACCCGACGGACTTACAGTGCTGATAGATACAGGCATCAGCTTCACCACGCGAGGCGCTACAGCGCAGGCGCCGAGTGGCGGCGGCGGGACAATTCAGAGACCGAGGACGAAGATGATTTAAACGAGCACCTTGCGAGGTGCCAATGTTCTTGTGACCACATGGGTTATACGTCGAGTTCCCAGCAACACACACAGGTTTGTTGTGGCGAGATAATTCCCGTGCAGACGTTCAACTAATTCGCGAGGGATACCTTCCTAAAGTAAAGTTGTCCATGTACGTAATTAATCACTACGCTATGAAGACATTTGGGGAAGTGGACGTATAGCTCCACCATTCTTGACCTCGACAAGATATGGAGGTGAGTGGTCAGTTTCACGTCCCGGCCGCTTTACCCCGGGGAAAGAGCCTTCTGGTAACCATTGGTCAGGAGGCTGGGTGAGCCCCAGAACCGGTCTGGACGCTTCGGAGAGGAGAAAAGACTTTCATTGCTGGGAATCGAATCCGAGTCAATGAAGACGCGAAAAAATCATTGTATCTAGTGTCCTCATCATGCACCCCTTTAATGAAAGATGTGCTATTATTTTCCGTTTTCACTGCTTTCGCATTTTCATTTACGTTACTAATATCGCTTATTTTTCTTTTGGGATACGTGGGTGAGGGAGAGAAATCGCGATCCTTAACTTCGCGATATGTTGCCGTTGCGAAAACGTGGCGCTGACGGAGACAGGCCGTGACACAGCGCGTATGGCTTAGATGATACGGTTCTGCGTGAAGTTCGCGCAGATGCATCACAGCGAATATTACATATAAAATTCGTGCTACCGTATTGTTTGGAGCTCAAACGGAGGGATGACTGTATTCATTCGCCCGTTCTTCTTCGCGCCGAAATGCAGTATTTACATCCACGTCACTTACCACAAGAGGAGATGCGCTCGTAGCCAGCTGAAGGACCTCACATAACTTTATATCAAGATTGTGTATATATCAGCTGATTCTGCTCATTTTGTGCCATGTGTCGCGAAAACAGAGCGATAAACAACTGACAACATTGATGGTTTCATTGGCAATTTCAAGGGTGTAACCGCTCACTTCTTTAGGTTCTGTGTTTACGTTGTGCGCCACGCTGTTGCCGTCCTCCTTGATCCTACGTTGTGCTCCACTTATCAGCGTCCTCCCTCTTCTCGTAGATGTCGAGAAGTTAGAAGGAAAGGGAGAAGAATTGTGGTCGCTGGAGCTATTACGCGAGAGCAGGTAAAGACGGGAGCAACTGGGTTCTGTTCAGTAATCAGTAGAGCTGAGTTCCTATCCCGGGTCTTATAAGGGTCTGGCTCGGGCAGGGCAGGAAGAACCTTTCTGCTTCAATCACACACACACACACACACACTTTAGACCGTTGCACTTAATGGTCATTTAATCCCTTCCAGCTTTCTGAATACACTGAATTTATTAATATACTTAATTTGAACTTTACTTATACTACTTTACGGAAGGGCCGTAGTTGTAAATTTAGTGTCCGACTTTGCCGAAAGTTGTGTCAAGACTCCTCGAGGTGGAATGCCCTCTCTCTGAATCCTGAGGTCCACGAACCCCAGACTCCAAGAGAAATCCACTTCTCCACTTCTGCCATTGGTTAAGTTTGCAAACTAGGAGGTTCCCTAAATTTTGAATTCCCAATCATGTTGCTCTGCTATGTGATTCTGGCAGATGCTGACCTGACGCTAAGGTCGACAGCCCCTTGATGCATTACGGTCAGGGTGTGAGGCTCCGGCCGTCCCACTTCTAAGTTATCGCTGTCCCAAGCTGTCAGCTCTTATTTTCTCAAAGCCTTTCCGCCTTTGCTGAAACTGCCAGAATTCTAGGAAATTACCAGATGTTACTTCCTGTCCACATAGCAAAACTTGAACTATGCCCTTTCCGTGTGTAAGATCTGGCTATCTGCCGGATCTCTTTGTTTGTAATCTTGTAACCTAACTTAATACAAATTTAATTTACACACAACAGTCCTCCAGTCAGAATGAACGGTTACAAGGGAAAGGCAGCCAAAACGTAAAACTGACCTCTGATTTTCATCTTCAGTCGACATCATGATTGCCCTGTGCGAATACACATGCGAACCCTTGCGACTTCACCAGATGACAACACGTTTTGTCTCGGTCGAGTGTATAGTGCACCTGCTTCTGCTTTGCGAGGTCCCAAGTTAAAATCATAGCCAAAAATTCGAATACTCTGATTTAGGGCTTTGTGATATTCTTTACTCCCCTCCAGGATATTGCAGGGTTAATAGGGTTGACTAAATTTGGCCATGGCCGTTTCTTTCCATATAATTTCCAATTCGTTATTCACTTGTCATCCTATCATTCGACGGCAAGTGGTCTGATCTGAACTACTGAAACTGCAGTTAAATAAACCATGGATAAATAATTTACAAATGGAGCCTCTGTGGAGAAACCATGCGCTGCTAGAAGGAACAATGCACAAGCAAGGGGCAACATTACAGACTGCAGACGTAACACAACAATGGGTTTATGAATAGAAAAGCAGGCCGCTGCAATATACGTAAAACATCTGAAGAAAAGATACTACACCGTGTGCTACTTTAGCGCATTGCAGTTAGACTACGATTATGGCGGTATGAATCATGAAGCGTGCAGTCGCATATGCGACGAATGGATAATATTAGTGCAGTGTAGCAGTTTTAGCATAGTAAGACACCTGAAGATGGCCATTTAGGGCCGAAACATGTTGTGTCGGAAGTGAAAGTGAAAGAATAAGGAACAATTTGTTGCATTGTTGACGGACTGTGTAGTACATGAACAGTTTTAGACTCTGTAGAGAACTAGCGCTAGCACATGATACCATAAGAGAAATATACGTGGCCGTCAACAGAAAAATCAATCAATAAAAATGAAATTAACGTGTTAATATTCTCTTTTGTTATACGGTCATCTTCAAGTGGTGGCATAAATGAACAACCGTTGTTATTTAATATTGTGACTTAGAGACACATCGCTACGCAACGACTCGGTAAACACATTCCAGAGGAAGCGTACGCGCGCAACAATATGACATTTATTGCTAGGCAATGAATAAGTAAACAAACCTTCTCAACAACAGAGAGGCTATATTTCCTGCGTGGTTCGTGCCGAGAGGTTATAAAGAGGCAAAGAAGGTCGTTCGAATCAGTTGTCAGAATTTGAGAGAGTTCAGTTGAAGAAAAATCCATTTGAATTAGTTGTCGAGAATTGGGTCGAGTTCTGGAGATGACAGTCTAAGGTGATTGAGAAGAAATGACAAGAAAATAATTAGATTGTGCAACGAAGATTTCATGTGTGATTTGACGTTAACAGTGAGATTGTTATACTCGTAAATTTGTTGCCAGAATGCGGCTAGTGAAGACTGGGAATCATAGTGCGTGTGTAAATGTAAACTATAAAGTGTGTAAATCAGCGATAGCGTTGTATTACCTGTACTCCTGAGCTCTGACTGTATACGGAGCATTGAATCCAATCATCCAATCCAAACCCCTTCTTATAAGTCACACGCAAACCCCTAAACATAACAACGTTAAACGTGTTAATATGAGTTTTATTTGTTGATTGTCGTGTTGACGGCCATATTATTTTTCCCCTTAGCACTACAGCCCCAGTGGGCCTAGGCCTACCTCCGTGAACTTCTCCGTTCACTTCGGTTTTTCTAGATCTTACACATTCGGTAGGACTCCTTGGGCGGGTGATCAGCTCGTCGCAAGGTCTTCACCTGTATACAAACACAGAAAAACGCACACAAACATCCATGCCCTGAGTGGGATTCGAACCCAAGATCCCGGCTTCCGAGCGAGCGAAGACAGTGCATGCCTTAGGCCGCTCGGCTACCGTGACCGGCCTGACGGCCATATACACGTGTATATAATATATATACCTGAAATAATATACACAACAGGATGCAAATAGCAAGCCTGTCTCCCCTTATAGCAACAAAAATAAAAGTAACAAAAGGGACAACGTTGTCAGTGGAAAAACATACACGCGCATGTTTGTCGTATTATGCGATTGTGAAAACATTGAACGCTTTAAACGTCAAATAAGCAGTTGGCTCTTCGATTTGAACATGGTATTATGCAAAACTACATACTGAGCGTTTATATGATCTGAGATTTCACGGATCTGTGGATTCATACTGTAGTCTCCTGGATTATGACACCAGTAGGTGGATACCAACGTTTCGGAAAAATATGCTGCTTCCATCGTCAGGCTGGAATCTAAGTCCTTTTATATTTAAACTCATTAAACGGAATTGAGAATTTTCTGAGGTGATAACCATTCAGCGAATCAAGAAATTTCTCGACTTTGAAAAAACTGAATGCCAAGTACGCTGCTTACAGACGTCCACCACTGGATCATACTCCGAAGGAGTTGAATTCAGTGCACGACCTCAAACCTTAACGCTTTAAGGTAAATTTCAATATTATGCTTCTATCTGCAGTTAGTTCTCCAAAATTGTCTATTTCATTCAAGTTTTCTGACTAATGTTTTGCAAGAATTTGTCATCTCCCTCTATGTGCCACATGTCCCATCACTCCATCCTCCTTCATTCAATTTCCCTAATTATATGTAGTTAAGAGGACAAATTATGGAGTTCTTTTGTACGATTTTATCTGTCCTCATGTTACTTCCTTTATCTCTGGTTGAAACAGAAAATTTGATTTAATGTACATTTAATTTGAAGAAAGCAGTCTTCTGGGATTTGGCACCGTGTATATGTGGTGTTAACCGACGTTTCGGAGGAACGTATCGCCTCCATCTTCAGACTGCTTTTACCGGCTCTCACGGTCTCTTTGCTTGCAGATTCTTATATATATTTTTTCTTCTACCCTGAAGATGGAGGCGATACGTTCCTCCGAAACGTCGGTTAACACCACATATACACGGTGCCAAATCCCAGAAGACTGCTTTCTTCATAGTCACCGCCGTGAAAGCCTCAAATCTTACATTTAATTTGTTGCAGGAGGATGTAGGTGATAATGACAGCAGGATTCACTATCCAACGGAAGTTGATTGCGCCTCCGTCAAACCGGAAGTGACGTTCTATCCACAGGGCAGTTCCACGCCAAGTTCCAATTCCGTGGCTTCCGGTAAGCGGGACAACATGATTCCAACTCACCCACTACTCTTCTTAAAAACTGCTTCAGGTTAAAGAGTTTTTGTGGCAGACCTAACCCTTCCAGCCGCACTAGGCCCTGGGGTTTACTCAGCTTCTAACAGAAATGAGTACCAGGAATTAATTAAATAATTTTCCTGGGGAGTAAAGCGCGGCCGGCGCGTAAGGCTGACAACCTTATCGCCATCTTTGAGCGGATTGTCTAGATAATGTGGAACCCTCAACGTCTCACAACCCTATGGGCCCTCACGGCCTGTTACAGGGATAACTTTACTTTTTCTTTCATGATGACTTTGACACACCGATGTCCTGTGCCAGGCGTTAGAAACATTCAGACTTAACCGTGATATCATCCAATTTCTCTTCAATGACCATTTGGAATTTCGATTCAGATTTCATATTAAATAATGTCTATCTTAGGAGCCGGGACGGCTCAGTCGGTATAGCGACGAGGTACAGCTGGGACGGTGGAGTAATAGGGGTTCAATTCCCGGAAGGGGCAAGAGATTTTGTTCTCCTCCAAAGTTTCCAGACTTGCTCTGGTGCCCATTCAGACTCCTATCCAGTCGGTACCATGCGCTCTTTCGTCGGGGTTAAAGCGGTCAGGGCGTGAACCTAACCATTCCCCTCCATCTTGTGCCGAGGGTAAGAGAGGTGGAGTTAAAACTCCACTAAGCCATACGTCTTCATGGCTCGGTGTTTCATTAATTAAGCACGTGGGAAATTTTTACCTTTTAATGACTATCTTAGTGCATTAAGTTTTTTTTTTAGAAATTCTTCTACTTGAAACTGTAACGCGTGAAGGTTACACCGGAACATTTCATCGACATTTCTTGCAGCAAATCTTTCCGGATAGGAACACATATCACAGGCAGTGAACACACGTCCTTCCAATACGTATCTCACACTTTACATTTCGACAAAGGAAACGGCACTACTGTGCGGATGTTCATCGCAAAGGCCTAGTACAGCGCACCTGTGGGAGTTCAAGCAACACGGAAGCATAGGAAGAGAGTCCATAAGGCGCAAGTTCGCTTCACGGTAGCTGTTCAAAACACAAGTCACAATTTCATGCTACGTGCTCTCCACTGTTGCTGAAAAGTATATATTTTTAGATTTCCTTTGTCTCTATATCTGTCATTCTGATATTCGTTTATTGTCAGCCAACTAATAATGGTAAAGTTGTCCCTGTTCTTAACTAATTAAGTACTACGCCATGAAGGCGTATGGGGGAGTGGATATATAGATCCACATTTTCTTGACCTCGGCACTAGTTGGAGGTGGGTGTTCAGCTTCACGCCCCGGCCACTTTACACCAGGTACCTATTGGATAGGAGGTTGGGTGGACCCCATAGCCGATCTGGATGACATGGAGGAGAGAAAATTCTTGAACCTAGGGTTCAAGACCCTCAGTCGTCCAGCCCGTAGCCAGTCGCTATACCGACTGGGCTATCCCTGTTCCGTCACCCAACTAATACAATATACATTCACAGTATTCTGTCCAATGGATAGAAGCTGGTTATTTAGTGCCCAGTCTGGAACTCATCAGCTTACCCCCGCATCCCCTGTATATGCCCCTGTGTAATGTTTTTGGCACAAAGGACACGTTGAATCTTCGGATATTTTGCGATAGTCTTCTCTTTCCGCATGAATAGCTTACTGAAGCAATTTCGAGAGGTATAAACAGCGATGAAAATTATTTTGTAGTCTTTTAAGAATCTTGAAGAGTTCTCTGCTCGAGTACTGTAATACCATCACTTTAAAATGCAGCCAGAATTGCAGTTTCATACTTCAAACCGTTTCTTCGTTCGAGTGGGGACTAACAACGTTTTGATAACCTACATAGAGTCTCCCGTCTGTAACAGACCGTAAATTCTTTAGTGGTTGTATGTTCCGGAAAGATTACTTAAAAATCAGAATTGGAATTCTCAATTTCCATTTCAATCGACAATTTCTTCCTATAGATTCTGTTTGTAACAGAATTCCAATTCTGATTTTTAAGTAATGATTCCGGAACATGAAACTGCTAATGACTTTACGGTCGGTTGCAGTTCATTCAGTATCATTTTTAAGCATAAATTATATTTTCTTAATAGAAATTTTAGTGGCTGAAATCCATGTACAGATTTCAGTATGATGAAAACTGAATGACGTAAGGCAATTCTATGCCATGCCATAGCTCAGGTGGCCCGAAGTTCAATTCCGGGTCAGTTCGTGTGGGATTTGTGGTGAACAACATGTCACTAGAGCAGGTATTCTCCGAGTACTTCGGTGTTCCCTCCCAGTTATTATTCCACCAGACGCTCCATTTCTCTCGTCTATCATCCAAGACTGGTACAGCGGGCCGTTTCATGGGCTACGTAGCAACAGCCTCATCTCAACGTACGGATAATAGAAAATGGTTCCAGAAAAAGTGGCATTACCTACCTTAAATTTACATGCTGGAGATTTCACAGGCGTGACCCTTGAAAGGATTCCGATTTACCGACTGTGTAAGAAGAGGGACGGAATCCGTAAGAACTTCATAATATCGGAAATAAAGGAGCTTAAAATCAGTAGAGCACTTGATATGACATCAGGTAGACATACGGAGCCAACACTTCAAGCTCTGCGCTGGTTCCACAGATTAACAAATGAATAGTATTTAGAAAATTATGCTCTAAATCGTGTATAATTTCTAGGGGTCAAATATGTTTATATTTATGGATACTTATACAACTTGTTTAACTGTGACTTCTGGATTCTGATGAAAATTTGCGACACGCTCTGATTAGAACCTCGGTTGAACATTTTCCCTTCATTTTATCCTGGTTCCGTCGAGATTTTTTTCGGCACGACTTTTCTTCCACATAAAACTTTTAATAAGGACGGCAAGACTTGGAATTCAGAACACAAAAAGAAAGGCCAGGTACAAAATGTGTTTTATTCCCGTGCTGGCAGACTTATTCCGTATGTATGACCCTCACTCACTCAACGTCCAGTTCCACAAGTACAAAGCCATGAAATCCCTGCCCCCTCTCCTTTGGGAGCCCGGTAGCTTTGTGAGACTCCCACTCCAGCTTTACGACGCTGGGGCACTGGGACACAGTGAGGCCCATGAATCTGATGCCTTGCTACAAGTGATTTTCTGGTTATAATTAGTGCATTTATAAAATATCGTCTACAAATATGTAGTCCAGCGTAAACTGATATGTATTTAGTAGGAATTTTACTGTAACATGCCATTTTCCATAAAATAAAAAGTTGTCTTGGCTTTAGCAATTAAGAACTACACTATGAAGACGTATGGAGGAGTGGATGTATAGATCTACGTATTCTTGACCTCGCATTAGTTGGAGGTGAGCGGCCAGCTTCACGACCCGGCCGCTTTACTCCCGAGGTAAGAAACCTCGGTACCATTATGATGTGAGGCTGGGTGAGCCCCAGAACCCTTCTGGACGACGCGGAGGTGTGAAAAATTTTTCCGCTGCGGGGACTCGAATACCGACCCCTCAGTCATCCAGCCCGTAGCCAGTCGCTATACCGACTGAGCTATCCAATATTAAACAAGGATAAAAAGCAGAACTTATGAAGGCTACCTTTCTTTTTTGCATAGATTTTTATATCGATGTAATGACTAGGCTACGAGACAGATAATCGAGGTGTAAAATTTCGATTCCCGGTGAGGGCAAGAGACTTTTCTATTCTCCAGAAGACCCAGACTGGATCAGGGAGCCAAGCAGGCCCTTATCCATTGGGCACCGGTTTCCCGAATATCACTTCTTAAGGTTATCCAGCATAAACGCTGTATGTGTTTCTGATCTCCCCTATATATGCTACATGTACCACCAATCTCATCCTCTTATTCGCTCTAAAATATTTTGTGAGCATTTAGAATCACATTAATCCTTACCGTGCTATATGCTACACCATCTTCAGCATTGTATATTCAAACAGCATCAGCCTATGTTCTTCGTTTACTGCGAGAGACAAAGTTTCATATGATACAAAACACCGGGCAAAAGTACGTTTTTTTATATATTTTAAGCTTTAGGTTGTTGAGCAGCATTTAGGAAAACAAAAGATTCTAAGCGGAATGGTAACAAGCACTTCTCGAATTTAATTTGCTGTTAATATCATTACGAATTGCTCTCTTCTTTAAATATTTAAATTTTACCACATTAAAAAGAAACGAACGTGAAACCAGATGACTGTCAGTAAAATATACGACAGTCTCTCTCAGGCAGAAAGAGCGACAGAATGGCCAATGTACGACAGACGGCTAAGCGTAATGGACGAGAGGACATGGCAGATATCACAGAGATCGACAAGTGGAGGGACTTGAAATATTGACGCTCGCAGGTCACAGGATGCAATGTCCTCGAGGATTCGTAATTGTGACGCACCATAACGTCCCATCAATAAAACATACTCCAAGATCGATCCTGGCCGTCAATCAGACCACAATTTGGCTTGGAAATCTCTGTACTGCAGCGAAATAATGCAGTTGGAGATGCTTTGCTGCAGAGCTCCAATATAGACACCTCCATCCGTGTCCTACTAAATTTTGAATCAATTAAAATGTTTGTATATTATAACATCAAAGCTTCCCCCATCTCTCTACTTTTTACTCCTTACCATCAATAATAATTAAGGGAGGAACATAGACTGAGGGTGTTTGAGAACAGGGTGTTGAGGAGAATATTTGGACCGAAGAGAGATGAAGCGACAGGAGGTTGGAGAAAACTGCATAATGAGGGCTTCATAACTTGTACTCTTCTCCAAGTATAATTAGAATGATAAAGTTAAGGACGATGAGGTGGGCAGGGCATGTAGCACGAATGGAGGAGATGAGGAATGCATATAGCATATTGGTGGGAAAGCCAGAAGGAAAGAGACCACTGTGAAAACCAAGGCGTAGTTGGGTGGACAGTACTAAAATAGTTCTTAGAGAGATTAGAGTAGTATGGACTGGATAGATCTGGCTCAGGAGAG